TGTGGACGGACCTTTGTCTCTTGCACTGTACACCTAACAAGGTAGCTAAATAGTACAGCCTGCCTTCACTCTTAAATGCTGGTAAAAATTGCTTAACAATCATGGCAACTGTAAGTGTCTGATCACTGATCAAGGCTAAAGCTCTGGTCTTTGATTCCACAGACAGTGCCTCTCAAGCTTCATGTCTCTGGGCCTCAGTTCTCTATCTGAAAAAGTGGTTAATGCTTTGCACTTCACATAGAATTCGTCTGTAGTTATCAAGGTAGCTCAAAAAGATGGGTAAGAGTTTATTATTAACCTTGTTTTACATTTGGCTTAACTAAGTACTGATATCCAGAGCAATTTGTATGCAATAAGGTACAAGTCTACCACCTCTAAAGTAAGGAATCCCTTCTTGGCTCTATCAATGTAACTTCTGACAATCTACTTAAATTCAGTTCCTCAGCTACCTCATCTGAAAAATGGATCTGTGTACATTCCCCCCTAGGCTAAAGGACTGGTTTTTTTGGTTTGATTTTTTTGGGTAAGTGGGGGACACACAGATGGAGTCAGCTACTTCAGTAGATTCTAAAATTTCTTTTCACTCTTCTTAAAAGTAGCCCTGCCCAGTTCTGAAATAGTCTCAATTTTTGTTGCCAGCTACTATTAGGGCTATGGAATGGCTGCCATATGAGGAGAGATGAATAAAACGGGGACTTTTCAGCTTGCAAAAGAGACGACTGGAGGGGAGGGGGATATGGTAGAGGTCTATAAAATCATGACTGGTGTGGAGAAAGTAAATAAGGAAGTTTTTTTTTTTTTTTCACACAATGCACAGTCAACCTGTGGAACTCCTTGCCAGAGGATGTTGTGAAATCAAAGGCTATAATCGGGTTAAAAAAAGAACTAGGTAAGTTCACAGAGGATAGGTCCATTAATGGCTATTAGCCAGGATGGGCAGGGATGGTGTCCCTACCCTCTGTTTACCAGAAGCTGGGAATGGGCGACAGGGGATGGAATCACTTGATGATTACCTGTTCTGTTCATTCCGTCTGGGACACCTGGCACGGGACACTGTCGGAAGACCCTCAGGGAACTGATGGGCAGGATCCCCTGGGAGAATAACATGAGGGGGAAAGGAGTCCAGGAGAGCTGGCTGTATTTTAAAGAATCCTTATTGAGGTTGCAGGAAAAAACCATCCCAATGTGTAGAAAGAACAGTAAATATGGCAGGCGACCAGCTTGGCTTAACAGTGAAATCCTTGCTAACCTTAAACTCAAAAAAGAAGCTTACAAGAAGTGGAAGATTGGACAAATGACCAGGGAGGAGTATAAAAATATTGCTCAGGCATGCAGGAGTGAAATCAGGAAGGCCAAATCACACTTGGAGTTGCAGCTAGCAAGAGATGTTAAGAGTAACAAGAAGGGTTTCTTTAGGTATGTTAGCAACAAGAAGAAAGTCAAGGAAAGTGTGGGCCCCTTACTGAATGAGGGAGGCAACTTAGTAACAGAGGATGTGGAAAAAGCTAATGTACTCAATGATTTTTTTGCCTCTGTCTTCATGAACAAGGTCAGCTCCCAGACTGCTGCACTGGGCAGCACAGTATGGGGAGAAGGTGACCAGCCCTCTGTGGAGAAAGAAGTGGTTCGGGACTATTTAGAAAAACTGGATGAGCACAAGTCCATGGGGCTGGATGCGCTGCATCCAAGGGTGCTAAAGGAGTTGGCGGATGTGATTGCAGAGCCATTGGCCATTATCTTTGAAAACTCATGGCGATCGGGGGAGGTCCCGGATAACTGGAAAAAGGCTAATGTAGTGCCCATCTTTAAAAAAGGGAAGAAGGAGAATCCGGGGAACTACAGGCCAGTCAGCCTCACCTCAGTCCCTGGAAAAATCATGGAGCAGGTCCTCAAGGAATCAATTCTGAAGCACTTCGAGGAGAGGAAAGTGATCAGGAACAGTCAGCATGGATTCACCAAGGGCAAGTCATGCCTGACTAACCTAATTGCCTTCTATGAGAAGATAACTGACTCTGTGGATGAGGGGAAAGCAGTGGATGTGTTTTTCCTTGACTTTAGCAAAGCTTTTGATATGGTCTCCCACAGTATTCTTGCCAGCAAGTTAAAGAAGTATGGGCTGGATGAATGGACTATAAGGTGGATAGAAAGCTGGCTAGATCGTCGGGCTCAACGGGTAGTGATCAACAGCTCCATGTCTAGTTGGCAGCCGGTTTCAAGTGGAGTGCCCCAGGGGTCGGTCCTGGGGCGGTTTTGTTCAATATCTTCATTAATGATCTGGAGGATGGTGTGGACTGCACCCTCAGCAAGTTTGCAGATGACACTAAACTGGGAGAAGTGGTAGATACGGTGGAGGGTAGGGATAGGATATAGAGGGACCTAGACAAATTAGAGGATTGGGCCAAAAGAAACCTGATGAGGTTCAACAACAACAAGTGCAGAGTCCTGCAGTTAGGACGGAAGAATCCCATGCACTGTTACAGACTAGGGACCGAATGGCTAGGAAGCAGTTCTGCAGAAAAGGACCTAGGGGTTACAGTGGACGAGAAGCTGGATATGAGTCAACAGTGTGCTCTTGTTGCCAAGAAGGCTAAAGGCATTTTGGGCTGTATACATAGGGGCATTGCCAGCAGATCGAGGGACATGATCATTCCCCTCTATTCGACATTGGTGAGGCCTCATCTGGAGTACTGTGTCCAGTTTTGGGCCCCACACTACAAGAAGGATGTGGAAAAATTGTAAAGAGTCCAGCGGAGGGCAACAAAAATGATTAGGGGGCTGGAGCATATGACTTATGAGGAGAGGCTGAGGGAACTGGATTGTTTAGTCTGCAGAAGAGAAGAATGAGGGGGATTTGATAGCTGCTTTCAACTACCTGAAAGGGGTTTCCAAAGAGGATGGATCTAGACTGTTCTCAGTGGTACCTGATGACAGAACAAGGAGTAATGGTCTGAAGTTGCAGTGGGGGAGGTTTAGGTTGGATATTAGGAAAAACTTTTTCACTAGGAGGGTGGTGAAGCACTGGAATGGGTTACCTAGGGAGGTGGTGGAATCTCCTTCCTTAGAGGTTTTTAAGGTCAGGCTTGACAAAGCCCTGGCTGGGATGATTTAGTTGGGAATTGGTCCTGCTTTGAGCAGGGGGTTGGACTAGATGACCTCCTGAGGTCCCTTCCAACCCTGATATTCTATGATTCTATGACCGGATACTGGGCTAGATGGACCTTTGGTCTGACCCAGTATGGCCGTTCTTATGTTCTTGTGTTCTTATCTGTCTTTTTGCAATCAGTTTTACTGACAGAAAATCAGGTCTTGTTTTCAATAATGGCAATTTCTTAAACATTTTTAATTCCTGCCCTTGAAAACTGCCTCTTACACAAGTCCCAAGTCAAAAGTTACCTGTGTTTTCAAACTTTGTAATCTTTCATTTGATTTCAGGGGCATAAACTTACACTTTGCCCCCCCCCCCCAATCTGAAGTAATTTCAAAGTACGTATATTTCAAAATATATTCTAGTTCTTGGTGAGTCAGCTATAAACTTCAGAAAGCATGAAGGTTTTTTGCAGTTATAAGACTGATTTTCTTTTATCTCCCTTAGAATGGAACCATAATTACAGGTCTCCATATGAAGAGGCTGCTATGTCTCCATAGTAAACTCAATTAGAACCCCAATCCAATAGTTGCAAAAACTATTGGCCCGAGCCTTTACTGCTTAAACTAAAGGAAAGTGTTAGCTTTCATTTACAGAAGGACCTTTGTTATTTCTAAGCTGCTAATAGAGGGCATATGCATATTAAGATGCTTAATCTTACTTCTGCTGAAGACAATGGCAAAAAAAAACAAAAAAACCGACCAACGAAAACCAAACTCTCTTGTTGAAATAAATAGAGCAGGATTGCCCCTGAATTGCCCACCACAAAAATCAAGAATTTTGGCTTTGTTACAATGTATTTTCAAACCTAACTAGCACACAAGTTTGTAGACGTAACAAGAGGGTTAGTTTAAAGGAGGAGTAATAATCCACTTTTGAGTTAGGGTGAGACAAAATTAGACAAAACTCAATTTCCAATCAGTGTAACTTTTCAAATTCTCCTTTTTCTTAAGAATAAATCTGACAACTTTCAAGCCAAACAAATTTTGTATCCAAAGGTATAGGATTGCAAAAACAAGCATTATTATGGAAGCTAATTGTAACCTTAACTACAGACAATAAGGAGGTTAAGTTGGCGCATGAGTGGGACTTGGTGAGAGTGCTTTATCTTTAACGTTGTCCTTCTGGGTTTTCCCTACTTCTTACTAGCCAACCCTTTGATTAAGTATACTGTATTGTGGTTGTTTAAATGCATGATAGCCTATTTAGTGGGAACATCTCAGATTCTAGGACTTTGCCCTGCAGGATGCACTGAACCGTACAGGGCACATGAAGTTTGAAACTGTCAGTGATGAGGACCCAGCAAAGACTTTGCTAGATCTGTTGCAGTATAATAAGGAAAACTGTATCTTAAAAACCTGCATTGTGAGTTTGATATTCTTTCAGTGATATATTAAATCTTCAAAACATAAAAGCCTACTTCTAACTGTAAAGCCTATTACAGTTTTATTTGGATTTGAGCTATTTGCATGTTTGCTAGATCTTCCTGAGAGAATCTTGCAGATACCTTGTGTGTGTATATATTTTTATGTTTGATATTCTGTTAAGGTCTGGAAAAAGTGCCCATGGAGTTTCTTTATAGGGATCCTTGCAAATGTTTGATGGTTTCAAGAGATGTAGATATTTACAGATTGACAGCTTTTTCTTATTACAATTTTCAGTGTTTTACTTTTGATGATTGTGACAGTGGTTAAAGATGGTTTGATTCCTTTTGATCCTCATTCTGCTGTAGTGTTTCACAGTCTTGATCTAGTTTAAGAAGACAAAAATCAGTGTAATATACTTGCATTTTATCAGTTTAAGTGAATATAAATGCAATCTATAAAATATTCCTCTTTTTTGTTTTTGTGCACAGAAAAGATGAAAAGGAGTATGCACTGAAGCAAATTGAAGGTACAGGGATATCGATGTCGGCCTGTAGAGAGATTGCAGTAAGTGGACATAAACAAAAGAAAATATTTTCTTATATTTTGTTATGCAATGGATAGTGTATATCTTGCTCTGTGAACAACACAACCAAAGGCTTAAAGTAGAAACTTTTCAGTTTAGGTATGAAAATTTGAAGGTTTATTCCAATATACGCTTCTACTAAAATTAATGTTTTGTAAATATATTAAAAACAACTTGTAAATGTCAGATCTGTGGCAAGGATATAATATATATTTTTTCAGGATAATTTTGTCTGTCTTACTTTTGTTTTTTAACCCTGGCAAATAAAGTATTGTTTTAAAAACTATATCAATTAAATTTAAAAAATATTTAAGGTTCCAAAAGAGACTCTAGTTGCCATTATGAAAAGGTCACTAATGTGTTCTATGTCAGTGTAATGGTAACCTACTCTTGTTTTATGTCTGAAAATGCACTGTAGTCTTGTTACACTCTCTGCTCTCCTTCGTACAGAAAGTTGTCTTAAGACTACTTTTCCATTTTGCTTTAATGCTTTCTTTCATTGTAAGTGTATGAATCGCCTAGTGATGTCAGTAGGACTCCTAATAATAATAGGAATTGCATGTCTGTATCTGAAGGCAGAATTTGGCCATTTGATGTTTTTTGAGACTGAAAATAACTGTGCATTAGGGTTCAAGTACTTGTTAGGGGAATAAAATTTTGTAATGCAATGCCTTCTGCATCATTGTAAAAGAGATGCACTTGCTTGATCTAATATATTTGAATGCTGACATCATGGTCAGTGCTTACAAATATAAGATGTATGCCTCTGGGTTTTTATACTCTAGTACCCTAACACAAAAATAAGCTGTTCAGACACACACACAGTATCACATGACAATAGAAGCTCATGGTGGTCAGGAATTGAAGAGGCCACTGACTTCTGTTTAGCATAATATACATGGTAATTTTTTGTGTAATCTAAGGAGGCTTAGCAGCTAAAAGTACTGTTCTTTAAAGTGCCTGTCACTATTAAATTAAGGTAGTTCACTGTGGAGATTATAGGTACACCTCTACCTCGATATAACGCTGTCCTCGGGAGCCAAAAAATCTTACCGCGTTATATTGAACTTGCTTTGATCCACCGGAGTGGATCAATACTAGGGATTGTCTTCCCTGTCCGCCATTTGCCCCACCATACTAGGGGCTCTGTGTCTCTCTTCCCGCATCCCTCCAAAGGATACCTAACCTTTTCTTCCTCCCTTATTGAATGGCGGCGTGGGTGGCTGATGCCTTCCCTTGCCCAAATGGAGCAGGCTTTGAGGAGGCAAAGTCTGAGGAAGGAATGAAAGTAGCCTCCTTCTCTATCCTCTCCCTCTGTCTGCCCAGGGGGGCTGAGCATCCACCCCAAAGCTCCAAGCAGGGAGAGCAATTATTTCTCTTTTGATCATTCAGAGATCAGGGTGTGAACATGTTAAATTCTACTGGGAGGGTGAAGGGGATATTTTTCTGGGGGAAGGTATTAATGGGTTGCCATCAACAGGAGACTGTGGCTGAGTGTGTCTTGTTTTCCCTTTTTCAATATTGTTATTCTCCTCCAAATCAATAGACTTCTGACTACTGATGTCTAGAATATTCCCTGAAATTTTGGAATTGATTGGACACAGTGTTCAAAAGCTACTGTGTGACAGACAGAGAGATTCCATGATATTGAATGTAAGGCCTCACAAGCTTGGCCAAAAATGTACCTCAAAACCTGCAGTACAGGGTTTGCTTATACAAACCTATGAAGTCCTACAGAAAAGAGACTGGATTGGTAGAGACGTCTTTATAGGTGGCAATGGAGAGAGCAGATTCAGAGAGAGAGAGTGTCTATGTAAGAAGAGGAAATTAGCCCTCAGATTTAAAACCAGTTTATAGTACAAGAGCTCAGAAACTTCCTTTCTGATATTTGCATTGCAAGTGGGAAGACTACACATTTCTCTTGAAAAGCTCAACATTACATAGGTGAGTCTAAAGGATTCAGACAAAGGAGGCCATGTTAAGACAAGTGTGTGGATAGTTCTTTTGGCATCCATAATACAAATTTCAGAGGAATGATCAGGATGGATGCCAGTCTCCAAAACTGGGGCTCATCTTCATAGTGGTGTATATGTGGCTCCATTGAATGAGGTTGCATATAGGAAAGGCACATGTGGTGCAAACAACCTGATTGACTGAGTGTTTAGGATAGCTGACAACCCATCCTGTTTCTGATGTTTAACCATGTTATACCTGAGCAAAACCTGAGGTTCCAGGAATTTATCACTGTGTTAAGAAGTCATTCAGCTGTCCACAGGTTCAAAACCATTATACATAGAAGACATTGCACAAGATGGGACGATATCAGATATAGCTTTGTGACCTAGAGGCCGACTTTTTCTGTCAAGGAGAAATGCAAAGACCGCTATCTTTTTCCAGAGAGATTACGGATCAGTTTATCAATCCTTTGTTAGGACTTGGCAAATCATTTTTGTGCTTTGCCTTTCTTCCTTTACCTCTGTTTATGTTCCCTGTCCATAGAAAGGAAAGGGCTCATATAACTGATTGTATCAAATAGGTAATGGTTCCTAGAGTCAGTGGTGGTGATTGTATCCCATCTTTCAACTTTTGGACAACATCAGCTGAAGCAGGAATCCATATTTCATTCAAGCTTGTTGTATTAACATTGTAATTTAGATTCTGTTGGCGATCATAAGAACAGCCATACTGGGTCAGACCAATGGTCCTCTAGCCCAGTATCCTGTATCTCACAGCAGCCAGTTCCAGATGCTTCAGAGGGAATGAACAGAACATTGCAATTTCAAGTGATCCATCCCCTGCCATCCAGTCCTAGCTTCTAGCAGTCAGAGGTTTAGACACACCCAGAGCGTGGGATTGCATCCGTGACCATCTTGGCTAATAACCATTGATGGACCTATCCTCCATGAAATTATCTAATTCTTTCTTGAACTCAGTTTTTTTTTTTGTGTGGCCTTTACTAACATCCCTTGTTGATGAGTTCTGCAGGTAGACTGTGCATTGTGCGAAAAAGTGCTTCCTTATGTTTGCTTTAAACCTGCTGCCTATTATTTTTATCAGGTAACCTCCAGTTCTTGTGTTATGTCAAGGGGTAAATAACACTTCCCTATTCACTTTCTCCATACTGTTAATAATTTTAGAGACCTCTGTCATATCCCCTCTTAATAGTCTTTTTTCTAAGAGGAACAGTCTCAGTCTTTTTAATCTCTCCTTATGGAAGCTGTTCCATACCGTAATCATTTTCATTTCCCTTCTCTGCACCTTTTCCAATTATAATGCATTTTTTTAAGATAAGGTGAACAGAACTGCATGGAGTATTCAAGGTGTGGGCATACCATGGGTTTATATAGTGGCATTGTAATATTTTTTGTTTTATTTGTCCCTTTCCTAATGGTTCTTGACCTTCTGTTAGCTTTTTTTGACTGCTGCTGCATATTGAGTAGATTTTTGCAGGGAACTATTCATGATGATTCCAAGATCTTTCCTGAGTGGTAACAGCTGATTTAGACCCCATCATTTTGTAAGTATAGTTGGGATTATTTTTTCCAATGTGCATTACTTTGCACTTACCAATATTGAATTTCATCTGTCAATTTGTCACCCAGTTACCCAGTTTTGTGAGATCCCTTTGTAACGCTTCACAGTCAGCTTTGGACTTAACTGAGTAATTTTGTATAGTTTGTAAATTTTGCCACCTCTCTGTTCACCCATTTTTCAGATCATTTATGAGTATGTTGAACAGCTCATGTCCCTGTAGAGATCCGTGGGGGGATCTCTCTGTTTATCTCTCTTCAGTGTGAAAACTGACCATTCCTACCCTTCATTTCCTGTCTTTTAACCAATTACTGATCTATGAGTGAACCTTCCCTCTTATCCCGTGTCTCCTTACTTTGCTTTAGAACCGTTGATGAGGGAACCTTGTCAAAGGCTTTCTGAAAGTCCAAGTACATTATATCCACTAGGTCACCTTTGTGCACATGCTTGTTGACGCCCTCAAAGAATTCTAATAGATTGGTGAGGCATGATTTTCCTTTACAAAAGCCGTGTTTGACTCTTCCCCAATATAGCTCAGTGGTTTGAGCATTGGCCTGCTAAATCCAGGGTTGTGAGTTCAATCCTTGAGGGGGCCACTTAGGGATCTGGGGCAAAATCAGTACTTGGTCCTGCTAGTGAAGGCAGGGGGCTGGACTCGATGACCTTTCAGGGTCCCTTCCAGTTCTATGAGATAGGTATATCTCCATATCATGTCCATCTATGTGTCTCATAATTTTGTTGTTTACTATAGTTTCAACCAATTTGCCTGGTACTGAAGTTAAGATTACTGGCCTGTAATTGCCAGTATCACCTCTGGAACATTTAAAAAAATCAGCATTACATTAGCTATCCGCCAATCATTTGGTATATAGGCTGATTTAAGCGCTATGTTACAACAGTTAGTAGTTCTGCACTTTCCTATTTGAATTCCTTCAAAACTCTTGGGTGAATACCATCAGATTCTGGTGACTTATTACTGTTTAATTTATCAATTTGTTCCAAAACCACTTCTATTGGCATATCATTCTGGGACAGTTCCTTAGATTTGTCACCTAAAAAGAATGGCTTGGGTGTGGGGATCGCCCCCATATCTTCTGGAGTGAAGACTGATGCATAGAATTCAGTTAGCTTCTCTGCAATGGCCTTGTCTTCCTGGAGTGCTCCAACAACACTGCATATTTAGACTTTGAGTGTTTTGTACATAAGCACGTGTGCTACTTGTCAATATTTGGTTGCTTGCCTTCATGTGTTATATTTAAATAGGACTTTTTAAAATTTGATTGTTCCTCAGTACCTCCTACCTGTACTTTACCAACTTTTTTCCTGTCTTTACTAGGATATAGAGTTCTTATGCATCAAAGTGGCATTTTTCTACCTTTAGCAATATTGGTAAGAAAATTCCTGAAAATGGCATTCATAAAAATAAAATACTGGTATGAATTTCTTCTGA